AAAGATGATTAGTTTGTCTTTGGATGTGTTCTTTGATAGTTCTTAAGAGTGGCTTCTTGTTGATACTGGGATGTAGACATGTATTTGATCAACAGGGTTTCCAAATTTCATCACGACGCTAACACTGTAAGAATACAAAGAACCATAGTGCAAGGAGGAGAGTCTCCCCTTTGTAAATTTTTATGATTTGGAGTCTAGGTTTCATGTTATTATAAGAATTTTAAAGGAATTGAGGATTCTGATGCAATTTTATAAAGTCAACAGAATGTGGTCATATCACAATTATATATTTTCTCATCTCAATTACTATTAATTGTAAAATTATGTTTTAAAATTTTTATAAAATAATTTCTTGACTCCAAATGCGATCTGTTTTTACCGAGTTGCATTGTTACAAAGAAACTTTTCTATTTGTAGATTTTGGATGATTTTAGCTTCCAATTTTTTTGTATATTTGAACTGAATTTTTTTGTTGTTTATGTGTATAGGGTTAGATTATATTAGTTTTAGAGTTTGATTATTACCACCTGCTTTTCCATACTATAATCCTATTTTTCTGAAGTGCAAAAGGTAAGGATACTTGTTCCCATGATGTATAAAATAAGCTAAATTAGTGGGTAATTTGAGAATAACTTATTCAGTGATAGTGTCATTACGTTGAGACATGCCAAAATTGACAATATGGACATCTCTGAAATATTTCTTGCTGGCTGCTTCTTTTATTTTGCTGAAACTATATATATTATCTAATGCAGGGTTTTTCATACTTGCACTAAATTTTCAAGGTACATAGATGGAGATATTAAAAGTGGTAATATTTTGTTGACAGAGTTAAATATTATTTTAGTATCTATGTTAACAACAAGCTCTTGTTAATACTTGTGTAGTTGGATGATTGCTTAACCTTGTGATTCTCGAAATCTTAGAAAGCCCTTTAAGTTGGAACTTGTTATAAATGTCATTGCACATGTACTTAAGTTTATTATGTTTGTCTTCATTTAAATTAATTTTTGCTTTGCTATCTCTATCAAATTTGTAACCAGTATCATTCAGGCTTTTTTATTGCACTGCTTGTGAATGTAGTCTGCTTACACCTTAATCATTTAGATGAGATAATTAACACGGTAATAGAGATAGACCAAAGACCTGGGGTTTATATTTGCCACTGCCAATTTATGAAACTCGTGCAAGTGATATGTTGATGATAAAATGAATTCATGGGGCTTTTGAAGATCAAATTTGAATAAATAAATAAATGTGGCTACTTTACAAAGGCTTAAGCTTATGGATCACATGTGCACATGAATTTTATTCATTTTCATTTTTTTTGTAATACATAGAATTTATAGTCCTTATTGGTTTATCAAGCTATTTATTTTATGTGTCCACTAAAAGGATAATTAGAAAAATGAAATGGATATTTAGTTATTGGAAACTATAGTGTTATGGATACATGATTATTCATCATTCAATTCTTAATTACAAAGAACATGGGAAAGGGCAAAAAATAACGTCACCGTTGGATGAAGTTGGTAGAGCTCCACGTCATTTTGTTCTATATATGCTTATTTATAAATCGAAAGATATTAATAGAATTATGTTAATTTTTTTGGGTTTTGTGGTTTCTAATTGGATTCTGATTTATTGATGTAGTTGTGTTGATGGATGATGATAAGATTGCAGAATGCTGTAGAGGATTTGGCGCATATGTGATAATGACAACAGAATATTGTCGAAATGGTAAAATAAGCCTGGAAACTTGTGCTAGTTGGATATATTGCTAATTTTTTGCTTTTATATATTTTCTAAGCACAAATCATTGTAATGATGCACATCAAAAGCTTGGAACAAGTACGAAGGAGTCTTGTTATTTGGCTACGGAGCAGAATGAAATTTGAGGCAAAATTATATTATTTTTCTGTGTAATATTGGATGGTTAAATTATGTTATCATACTTCAGATATTTTTACTTTCTTGTTTCAAAGTAAATTTTTGGGTTTAGGGAATGGATTTTGTGACTTGTGTTCCGTAAATTAGCCGTCTTAAAGCCTAAAGGTGAAAAACAATAAATGGGGTTGTGTAATTTATCTTGATTCTTGTTCAATGCCTATAATGATAAACAATATCATGCTCATTGAAGGAAAATATATAACGGTTGGCTATTATGTGAAACCAAACATCGAGACGATGCCTATCCAATATCACTTGTTCTTTTTGTTCCAATATATTCTGATTTTTTGCTACATTTTTTGTCACTGCTTCTGACATCTAGAGACACTTGGTAATCCTTCTATTTCCTCCATTGGTATTTGTTTCTGAATAACATTAACAAGATGTAACACACTGAGGATATTGTAGGTGAACATCGAGAGAAACACGATGATGAGGTGATATGCTTGTGATAATTTTGAGTTTTTTCCCCTTTTTATATGATTTATTTGTTTATAAGTTATTGAATGATGATAAATTTGTTCTTGGCTATTTAATTCACTTGGTAATAGGCTCAATGTGATTGCTGCTTTGCTTATCAATGTTAACATGCTGTAGATTTATGTTGTGTATTTGTTTACTGAACACAGATGTGTTTTATCTCCTCTTTGATTGTCTTAGGGAGTAGCGTCTGAGTGTTTCGAATCAAAGTTTCATAACTTTTTTGAGTGCTATAACTCATAACATGATAAAATACAATTCTCATGGAATAATGGCCCCCAAAGCTTAACAAAAACCTTCAAATTCATTTGTGCTTCTGCAATAAGGACTCTGTTTTTTCCTTTTTCTTTTTGAGCGCGTTTATTTGGAGCCTACGTGTAGTCTCTTGGGAGTTTCTCGATCTTGGAAAGGAAGACTATAACCTGCTCGCTATTTACCATTTCTAATCGAAATCTTAAGGACAAAATAATCATCATCATCATCATCATCATCATCATATAAATGCCTAATGAAAGCAATCAGAGACTTCATTCAGATATGGCCTCGTGTTTTGTGTGTTCTGTTTTGGTTACTTTTAATCAGGTTCTGTTGTAGCTAATTTTACGAGGTTGGCAAAAATTAGATTTCCGACGTGGGTTTCTTTTTTGTTCCTCTCTTAAAAGCCTAATTGTTAAATTTATTTACTGATGATTTTGCATTATTTGGAAATCCTGTTATCTATATATTGAAGTTGTGATGAGCAGGAATGTATTGAATTGTTTAAGTAGGGATATGATTTGGAATATTATGAAGTTGAGATCTTTAGAAAAGAGTAGCAGGTTTGATAACCTTCACTATAGCTCCGATTACAGCGACCCCACCTACGATCCCTGCATACGTGTAAGTATTTGAATGATCAGAAATGGCATAATACAACCATTCAAATGGAAGAGATGAGTGAAAGCAAGTTGCCAAATTTACTTACTGCAATGCGGGGTGAAAAAACATATTTGATTCCTGTGGCTCTAAATTCATGTGCAGTTGCAGCTCCAATCTTCTTACTACAATGTGGCATCTGGATCCAAAACTTAACAGAGCATATAGGATAGTAGATCTGCAAAAAGAATGTGCAACGTAGCTACAAATAATTCCCAACAGATCAGAAACCACAGATCTTGTCCCTTTTTATTCTTTTTGTTAACTGAGTAAAAAGTAAAAGCTTTTAGAGAATTTTTGGACCATATAACACTTGAGATCATTTCACCACCATAAATATGTAAAGAAGCTAGGATAGCTTGAAAATTTCTGTTTTAACTTATTTTTTATCCATTACTGTACAGATTTAGGACATCAAACTGCACAGAAGATAGTTCTTGCAATTTATTAGAAACAGTGAGTAAATTTGTGCCGAATATAGCAATTTCCATTGTCTTCCAATATACACGTAGGAACAACAGGTAGGATCTTTATGCTCTGATAGATCTATTGATGACAGCTTTAGAATTTCTTTCATAAAGTCTTCTACGATGAATTATAATGGTGGGTTTGATATAGAGAATGTAGCCAGCCAATGAATTATATGATGGGTCTGGGATGAGTTGCTGAAGAAAGGATGTTTTAGTTATTTTGGGAGACGGTTTGGGTTTTGGAAAACATTACCCAGGAATAGTGGTTTAGATAATTACACAAAACATACTCATAAAGATCAATTCTACTTTTGAATTTAAAGAATACTTGTAGTTATTCGTAGTCACATTTAAAACCATTATTTGGGTCTTAATACTTGAAATTGTGGATAAATAACATTACTTATATATTTTATGTTATTTGTTGACAGGGAAGAAGCTTTACCCAGCTAAATAATGGAAGGGATTGAAAGAATAGAGGATTATTGGCTGTGGTCAAAGTAAACACTAAAAATTTAGTGCAACAAAAACAGAATTTTGTGAAGTAGAAATAAGAACATACTATTTAATTGTTATGTTTGTTGGAATAATCAGGCCTTTTAAGGACTCCAAAGCCTACTTTAACTAGAAAAACTAAAATCAGTAGGAAAAAGTCAATCTAATTCTAGCAGGAAACCCCCTGCGTACTAAATCAAGACTAAATAAAAACATTTTTATAACTACTTAAAGTTCAAGTCTAATAATAACAATACTTGTGGAGAAGAATTTGAAAATTTAAACTTTTCCTACTGCATTGTTTGCCGGATATATAAGTGTTTTTAATATGCAAAATTGGTTTTGCATCGAAGCTACCTTCTCTTTTTCTAATTTGAAGAGTTTTTCAGAATTCAAATCCACCATTTACTTCAGTTGAATTGGACCATAATGACTCTGGAAAAGAAAATTGCACAATTACCACTCTTACAGTGACCGCTGAACCTCAAAATTGGCAAAATGCTATTAAAGTTTCCGTGCAAGAGGTTTGTGATTTCATTCCTTAATTTCATTCATTATCTCGATGCACGTACCTCTACCCTCCTTCACCCTCCTACTCAGCAGAATCTAAGGTTCTGGAAATCATAGCATTAATGTGATTGGTGATGTAAATGTTAATATTTTTTTAATGCTTTTCTTCTCAAGAAATTTATGATTGATAACGTATCATCAGTGGATAATTTAGATTTCATTATGGAGAGCGAAGCATTTGCTCACGCTGACATGAGAGTCTGGTTACTGTCGCTGGCACAGTTATCCTCGAGGAGGTAATTCTTGATTCTTTCCTCTCTGAATGGTGGCTCTTTACTATTTTATCCATTATTGTGTTGGCCCAACAACGATGCATTTTATTGATTTTTTACCCACAAGATTTGCCAGATATAAATGAACTAGATGGAATTTGAGACATTGGTTAATTTTTAGACTCTGATACTTCAGTTGACCATTTTTTATGTGCTATGTCTCAGGTCAATTCTATTGGTGCAAAAGTGTTGGGAGTTCATCTCTAATTATGGAAAATCATATGCACCGCTTTCAGCAGGAATCGTTGCTTGTGTTCCAAAGAAAGTGCACGTTGATGGAATTGGTGAAACCAAATTCAAGATAACACCAGAAGAGATATAGCTGCAATTGAAACTGGTCTGAATGAACCCATAGAGGCAAAGCCTGAGGTTTTTATCTTTAAGAAACTTTATATTTACAGATCCTCTGTTACGGCATGGGTAATATTTAGGTCTGCGGGTCGTCATTCAGTTTTGAGAAAGATATATGGATGAAAATTAGAAAGACTTGTTTTTTATCAAAAGAAACGTCCGTTTGACTAATGACATATATTGGTAAGTATTAAAATTTGTTGTGAGATATGTTTGTGCCATTATCCTCTCCCCCATCTATTACTTCTTACAAAAAGAATAAAATATAAAGAAATGGACAAGGTTTTTCATCCACCTTACTCCAATATCAAGATACTATTACTGACTATTATTTGTTTCTCCCTTCCACAGCTTGAGGTGCCTAAAGAATTAATCTCCTCAGAACAGCTCCAGAAATCAAAATTGCAGCGAAGCCCATCCTTTGTTCCCGTAGGCCAAGAAACNCAGCGAAGCCCATCCTTTGTTCCCGCAGGCCAAGAAACGAGCACGACAAAAATATATGAGGAGGATACAACCACGTCTTTCTAATGGAATTCCTGTAAATTACAGGATTAGTCATTTGTATATTTGTACGTAGTCAAACGTTTAACATACACCAAAATTTTTCTATAATTTTTGTGCCTTGTGTCAAAAACTGAACATCATTTTCGTCTTTGTGATATTTTAAATTAAATGTCCACTTTCCAGCTCTCGTTTCGAAAGTATCCTATTTGATTCGGTAGGGATTAAAATCCAATTAAAATTGAAAATATGACCGTTATTAAGTCTCACTCGTCTAATAAAAGTCAACAATAACGGCTATATTTTCAATTTTAATCTGATTTTAATTCCTCCCAAACAAGCTCTAAAATATTGAAAGCTTGAAACAAAGAGTCCTACCTATGATTGGCAATTTGGGATCATATGCAAACTCAGAGTTAAAGTAGCACGCAAATCATTCAGCTTTTCAACTCGCACTGTTTATGTCGATCCAAACCATGAAACTTACTTTTAGAGATTACAAGTAAACAATTAATTCACATTTTGTTAAAAAAAACAGCTATTAGTTGCAAAAACTTTTACAAATATATACCACAAGCTTAAGCATTGGATGACTATTTGATCCATGGGCAGAACTTCATCCCAAGTCCCCTTGTTTTCTCGGATAATAAATCTTCAACCATGCTACATGTACCGAAATGAATGACAATGTGGATAACCGAACACTCATAATAGGGAAGGCCTACTTTTTTTTCCGGAATTTTTTAATCACACGAGGCCCACATGCATGTGAGAAGTTGTCAACCTCCGTTGTCATCCATTTATGTACAAATGGAATTGTCCATAAATCTTTGCTCACAATCATGGTTGATTCTACCTCTTGATCGGCTGCAAAGTGTCAAAATAAAGTCCACTCCCAAGCGTCCTTCCGTTACTACTTCAGCAACACACTAACAAAAATTAAACTAACAGAAGAAAGACAAATATTTCTATTTTATTCACAACACGCTAACATCAAACACTAACATAAAACACTAATATCACCTTAAAAATAACACAACCCGTGCATCGCACGGTTCAAAACTAGTCTATAAATAAAAATTTAACTTCCTTAATACTGTATATTATTGTCCAACCAATGATACTAAACATGGCAGAATCATATTTTCTTTACCCAGAACAATTATACCTTTCAATAGCATCCAGTCCATCTACCCAAATACGCCAATAGTAATATGGGAGCTACTTTGAATCTAAATGTGGCCATTCTTTTTGGTACATTTATGTTGCAATCGAGTCCACAAGTATGCAATATTGAGTCTGAGACAAGTGTATAAGATCATCGATAACTTTTAGATCAAAATGGAAAGCGGAAGTTGGCTATTATATTGTCTTCAAAAAGAGTAGGGCACCATCAAGATCACGTATTCTGCTCTTGTTCGGCCTCTGCTTCAAAGTCCATGCCGGTGATGCTCATTGGGCCAATGTTAACTGCAAGAGCAGACTTCTTGTTAATATTTGGCAAGATGAGTCAAAACTGGCACCTCAACCATCAAGTATCATCATGGAAAGGATACTACCCCCACCCCACCCTCCAGCCGCATGGGGGAGGGTTAAGAGAAGAACTAAATGGATCATCCAATAGTATTAGGGGGCACAACCGCACCCACCAGGGGGTAGGGGAATAGGGAGAGAATAACCAAATGGATCATATAAGTGACTATAAGTACCTTTGCAGCGCATCCCCATCCACCGGTCATGGACCAGTTTCAGCTAGACGTAGGTCCTAATGCACTCACTCTCCCCAACCCTCTCTCAACGGAGTTGGGGAGTGGTGATTTTGGGTTCACAGACATAAATAAGTTAATCAAGATACAAGCAAAATGATTTCAGTCAGACAGTCACAAATAATTTTGGGGTTCACACATGCAAGTTAACAGAGATCATAGTTGAAATAAATTCTGAGAGAAATTTTGAGAGGTAGAAATTTATTATCTTTTCCATTTCTTGGGTATCAAGACGGAAATATCTATATTACAGGTAGGATATCCAAATTCCTTTCGGAATAGTAATCAATACTAAGTTTGAGGTTTTCAAGAGCTTCTAGTGATGGCTTATAAATGATGTGAAAACCAGGTAAGACTAACCTTCACCATTATCTAGTTTTTCAAAGCAAACGGACAGCCTTAAACATTCAAAAGTTTAGAATGTTCTTGTCATTCTTACCTACTGCGTCCATCCCAACTAACTTAGGCATGAACTTCCGGATATGCTCCTCGGCTGCGTTCTCTGCTTTCAGCGTCTCACATACAAAAGAAACTGAAACCCGGTCCTTTGCACGCTTCTCTTCAAGCATACCCATGACGTCCTTCTGCCACCTGTTATTAAATGAACACAATTAGAAAGCAACTTAGCCAAGGGGCAATGCTGGAAAAAAGAAAGAGTCCATTTTTAAACCCCAGATAATAATGAGTAGATATTACACCTTGCATATATTTATAGAAAGCTCAATATTTACCCATCTACCATGCAACATTCATTCAGATAGTATGAAACAACACCAAACTAAACCTTGTTCTCAATAAATTTGGAGTCGTCTATAATGAATATTTTTTTATGTGGTATTTGGTTCATTGTTAGATATACTGGAGACTCTAAAGCAACTAGATCCTTAACAACTACGATGGACCATATTAATTTGGTCTGCCCATCCCTCTTTTGGTTTTCTTTATTGAGATTGCATTAGAAGCTTCTTTAGATCTATGCAAAACATGTCTCAATCATCTAAGTCATCGTTCCTTAATTTATCCTCCAGTTGTTGGCTCATTTCTTATTTTAGTATGACCAAACATAAGTCTTAAAACACATCAAATGCATTAACAACTAATTTAACCATTTTCCTATCACTTTGTCAAAGGATGTTACAAAACCGAGATTAATCGAGTTCAAAAGGTAAAATGAGCAGGCACTAACAAGTACAACCTAGAGGTTATCGAAGTAACTTAGATTATAGTGTATAATGGAAGCAACCGCCATGTGTCCCTAGCCAATACTAAACACCACATATAACACACACACACACACATGTGCATGTGTATATGTATTCTTAGATGGCTTACCCATGAGCATGGTCAATTTTACATATCTTCGCAGCATCATGTCCTTTGCACTCTACCACCACATCCCTTTCTTTCTTACTCTGTTATATTGATTAAAATTTTCACCAAACAAGTTAGAACTTTTCATCGAACTAAAATGACAAACAAAAACGATTTCAAGAATTTAAAAAAAAAAAAAAACTAAATACATTCTTAATACAATTTCAAAAATTTAAAAAAAAAAAAAAAAAAAGGAAGCAGTAAATGACACTGACATTATAGTCTGTTACTGTGAGCTTTATCAAGCGGTAATCCTCACCTCTGCTGCATTCCCTTTCACAGTCAAGCTCTTTAACCATTACAGAAAAAACAACAGAAAAAATGAATAAATATAGAAAAGCACAATGTCGTCTTTCTCAGTAAGACATAAACAAACATATATGAATCTGTTATTCCTGTACTCGCACACAAACATGCACATGATGATAGAGAGCTTAACAACTGATATACAAAGTATCCTGATAGGCAACACCAGTGTATGTTTATTTCCATCACCAGTATTCTTGAATTCTTACTCGACAGTTATCCAGGTTGGCAAGAATATAAATGACTGAAAAATGCAACCTTAAAATGCAACCTTTCTGTAAGAGCAAACATTTTCTATTTACAGATATATAACCGACTATACAGTTGTTTCTTCGCTCTACCTTTTCTTCCAGTTTCAATTCCACAAATTGAGTTATACTGTAAAGTTAATTGAAGTCACTACACATACAGAAAAAAGGCAGGTTTATCATGTTTAATTGAGGACAAAGGTCCACACATATTATGAAGAACACTAATGTATTAAACAAGCTCATCTATAAGCTTTAGAAGAGGTGGTTTAACAAGATATTAGAACAAACAAAGATCTCGAGTTCATATTTGGCTACAACCCAAATATGAAAATTGTGTGCGTGCAATACTTTTGATTAAAAAATCCAACCTCCTCGTAGAAGGACGTCTTGACAACAATAATTTAAATACACAAATTTGTCAGCTCAAGACAATCCAGGATAGTATCGAGTACAAAACATACATTACGCATAGAGAGCCACAAAACATAATTGAAGTGTAATCAATCCCATTGTACAATTGAAGGATAAAACTGTACCAGTGCCATGGAGGCCATAGCAGATGGAATTGGGAAGCTGAATAAAATGGCCTGAAATGGACCCATTGGGTAAAAGGGCTATTGATGCCACCCCTTCCATTACCTTTTCCGTCTTTACATCTTTTTCTACTTCCTCTGCAACAACAAAAACATAACAAAGATCACTTTTTCAGAAATTAGAAAAGAATAAACTAAAAAAAAAAAAGTAACTTTACCCATTTCGGATTCTTGAATTCTTTCTCGAGAAATAACAAATCACAGTGTAAAGGGAAAACTGAGAAGTAAAGAGGGTTTAACAATTCCTAACCCTTGCTAATTCTCGAATGATTTCTAGAGCTAAATCGCAACTATTATACTTCAAACTGTACAAATCTGGAGCAACTTGCCACGTACGTATTTTTTTTCTCTTTTTGAAATTTCCCTATTGGTACCTAATCTATTATCTCAGTATGAATTTAATCTCCAACCTATTAAAAAGAACAAGTTGATCCTCATTCTTTTACTATAGTATCACAATCAGACGTTAACAACAATAATTGTTCAAACTTTATCACGCGACTCTCGTAAAATCTCTGCCATTGGTTTTTCATAGTATTACGTAGAACTAAATTATGAAATTATATTTTTAAAAGTGAAAAACTCTACAAATTTGAGGTTGCTATACAAAGGCGAAATAAAGTGTGGAATACGATCAACCAAGAATCGGATCAATGAGAAAATGCTTGCTAGTGATTTCCATGTCTAAACATAAGAGAACGAAATTAGAGCTACAATATTAATAGTTATGCGTTTGGAAC